TTCCAGCAAGTTCAAGAGGCTTATTCAGGTGATCATTCAGTTAATTCTATGGATTTGGTTGTTTATATATTTATTTCTGATCCTTTGAAAATGAAGGTCTTTTGTTGTTAGAAGATCTGAAAAGGTGTTGACATGTATCATGTAATTGTATACAGTTTTATCAGATAAAGGAAAACGAACGATTTATGATGCTGGATTGTTGGATCTCGTTGCAGAGGAAGATGACCAAGTGAGTGATCTCTCTCTTGATTCCACTCAACTTACATAAATTTCCCATCTCTAACTTATAAAACTGAGATTTTGGAGGGTCTTTTTTTTTTTTTCTTTTTTTGGAAACAGGGATTTCTTGATTTCATGCAAGAAATGGCTTTGATGATGGGAAATGACAGGCCAAAGGTACTTTTCTTTATCCGATTCATTTCCTCAAATCTATAATTTGTTGCAAAAGCCTAATTTTAGTGATGTATTTGATGACATATCATATTGTGATTCAATTGACTAGAGGTTTAACAATTTGCGGGCTAAAAGAAATGAACTAAATGGTTATTTGATCTCTTGTTGATTTTGTTAAATAATGTTGCTAACTAAAATAGGGTCCTTTATGGATTCTTGAAAATTAATTAAGTTGATCATGATTCATATGCACTTAAGATTATTGGGGTTTGGATGTGTTGTAGGAGGGGAACCGTTTGGAAGATCTTCAAGGATTGTTGATGGAAATGATGGAAGAAGATGAAAGAGTAAAACTTGGATTTGAATGGGGTGCTTCTCAAAGTGCTAGAAAGAGGACACGTATTGCTCATGTATAATATGGACTTTCACTACTAAATGAATGAATTGTGTGTGTGTGTGTTTTTTTTTTAATATTATATATATATTTTTTGAGTTGCATAAGGTAATCATCTATCTTTTTTAATTATCCCATCTACATGCTTACGATTTAAATACGGGATTTTTTACCTCACTTTAAAGAAGGGATTATCAATAAACTAACTAAATCATTAGCAAAAGGTAAAAATATTATTTTTCATTGTTTAACTATAATGACTTTTTAGAATTGTTAATTTTAAAACTTTTGTAAGCATTTCATATACATCACTAAAATTAGTTTCTTAATTAAATTCTTTAATTTTTTTTTTTCTTTTGGGTCTTCAATTGAATTCTCTATTTGATTCAGGAAGTTGATTATGTTAGAAAAGGTAAGTTGAATATTACCTAGAAATCTAACCCAAAATAAACTAATACTAATAGCTAGTCTTTACCACTGTGTCACAAGCTGGTTGGACTGATGTAAGACAATTCCAAATCTAAATTTCGTTCCCTTGCACCATAGGCGTGTCTTATCTCTGTAGCTAACCAAGAGTCACATTTTGTGTTTTGTTTTTTTGATATTCAGCACTGAAGTCACTTCAACTATCCAAATCAAAATGGTCTAAAAATCTTCCTGCAGTTTTAGATCCATTAACCAAATAGATATTTGTTTTGGTCACTTTCTTGTTAGCTAGCTGGAGATACTTTTCATTCGGAGATACTTTTCATTCAGGACCAGGAGAACTCAGAAGTTAGCTAGGGTCACTTGCCCATTGTGACAAAGCCATGTGAAAATCACAGCATAATGAATTTGTGCCACTCAGAATTCCCTCTTTTTAGAACATTTTGGTCGATGTAGCACCACAAATTTTATAGTTAATCTGAACCCAGTGGAGCGGCGGTATAAGCTTGTACCTTTCAGAGAACTTCCAATATTTGTGGTTGCAAACCGTGGTGGTAATGATTAGTTAGGTAATTAGGTTTTCTAGCGGCCCTCTGTATTTCATGATCATTGATCAATAAGGACCTTGGCATTTACTAACTGGGTTTTTTCTTAGGGGATCCAGGTGATAGGATTTAAACCCTCTGTTTCTTTTCTTTTTCTTTTCTTTAATGAAAATGAAAATTTCATTAAAGTAAATTAAGTTTTACAAAAAAAGAAGTCCGATATACAATATAAATATTTCGATCATGACCAAACAAGGGAAATAGAAAGGGGAAATAGAATCAAAAGTGACAAAAGTCTTTTCTATAAAGTTTCAAGCTAAGTAATTTCATTAAAGTAAATTAAGTTTTACAAAAAAAAAGAAGAAGTCTGATATACAATAAAAATATTTCGATTGCAAGAAAAACAAGAGAAATAAAAGGAGGAAATAGAATCAAAAGTGATAAAGGTTTCTCTATAAAGTCTTATGCTTAATAAGTGTATCAATCACACCATTTGCTTCACAATATGCATA